CAAACTGCACGGAGGATGTAGACACGTCCAAAAACTTATCTGTCATTCTTACTACATATTATGTTTATCACTATCGTCAGTCCATGCTACACATTTCGCTCCGCGCCACCTATGTCTATATGTACGCTTTGACATTTTTTTCATTCACTCGCTTTTTCAACTAATTTATTTACTTCTCTTTACAATAATCTTCATTCCGCTCCTTCTTATTTTGATTTTACAACTTTTGTGCTTCCAATAACCAGTTCCTGTCAAAAAACGTAATAGCAAGAAGTTGTAGCGTGGTGTCGAGTTGAGCTTAACTATGAACACCGCTACAAGACTACGTGCCAATAGACCAATAAGATTCCGGTAGGTCAAAATTCAGAAGGCGGATGATGGCTGTAGTCGAGATGTATTTGTTGGCGATCTCGTGGTATCGAAAGAATACCGAGATCGTGCCAAAGGAGTACAAGCGTGGTTACTGAGCGTAACCGAAAGTCAACGGGAGAGTAAGTATAGTGGCTGTCATTAGCACAGTCAAACAAACGAGCACAGTAAAACAGTCACTGGTACAATTGGTTATAATAATAATTGTTTTCATTGAACCAATCGCGTTCTGTTAACAAAAGTAGGTCACTACAGGAGCCTCCCGCTAGAAAGGGTTTACACTTTCGATAGTTAGCGGTTTGATTCGTGGGACTGATCGGCAGAAGTGCGGTTGTAGGACGAAGGAAATTGGCGGAACAGGAAGTGATCGTTGATCCTCGAGTTGCCAACGAAGGTCTTTTGCGCAGAACGGTACCAGAAGTGTGCTGTATTTGTTGGTCGAATTAGCATACCACACCAGAGTGGTTTGTATCCACGATCTGATGATTGAGTTCGTAGGGATGCGAACCAGAAAACGCTGCAGACGTAGGACGAAACCACGTTGAGCCAAGAAACCGGACGCGACCATCACGACCAAGCGTATTCCAGGCGAATTCGAGACCAGATAATCGACTGAGTGCGTTGACTAGAGCGTGGGTGGCCAAACCAGCTTTCGCCAAAGTTGACTGAAGTCGACGTTATCAAACGGGCGATGGTCGGATGCGTGGGCTCAGGATACAAAAAAAATCAAAAAAAGAAAAGTGTAGCATGCGTGTAGTATAGGAGTAATCCTACACGTATCCGTTATTGACTGTGCGTTTAGTCGCGAAAGCGTACGGGTAATCGTACTCGGCGACCGGAACGTGAGACGGTGGTCTTGTTCGTATTTCGTGAGCCTGCGATCTCATCCGAGGTCATGGGCGGCGTGGTCTGCTGATCTGGACGTGAGACGGAAGTCTCGTCCGTAGATGGTGCAGATGACGCGTGCTGTTGACCGGGACGTGAGAACGAGGTCTCTGATGTATCTAGCGTGGGATCCGAGGTAGACGTAGAGATCCCGCTAAAAGGTTTGGTAGGTCTAGCATTGAGTCTCAAGTTATCGGGTAGGGCACTGTCATCGACGTGTGCTGGTTTGAGACGATCAATGCTGACGATCTCGGCGCGGCCGTGTCGATCAACTTTGAAGGTCTTTTCGTGACGAGAGATCACGTGAAAAGGGCCTTCGTAAGGCTGTTGTAGAGGTTTGCGTACCGAATCTACTCGTATGAAAACATGTGAACAGGTAGATAACTCTCGAGGGAGAGCGACCTGTCGATGTTGTATTCGAGTTGACACCGGAGACAGCGTTCGCATAAATGCAGACAGTCGATGGACGTAGTCTGATTTACCGAAATCATTACTACTCCGTGGTGTGAAGAATTCCCCAGGCAGACGCAATGTCGTGCCGTATACAAGTTCAGCGGCGGAACATTGGATATCTGCCTTCAAACTCGTTCTGATGCCTAAGAGAACGAGCGGTAAGGTTTCGTACCAATTGTCGTTTTCGTGTGCTCGGAGAGCACTTTTAAGTTGACGATGAAACCGTTCGACTAAACCATTCGATGCTGGATGGTAGGCGGTAGTGCGTATGCGTTCCGTACCAAGCAGCCGGGTCAGTGAGGAGAATAATGCGGACTCAAATTGTTGTCCTCGGTCAGTCGTGACGGTCGAAAGACAACCACACAGTGCTATCCATCGTTCTACGAAGCGGTGAGCAAATGTCTCCGCCGTGATAGACGTGATGGGAATAGCTTCGGGTCATTTTCTAAAACGGTCAATGCACGTGAGTGTGTGATCATACCCATGCGATGGTGGCAATGGTCCTACAATATCTATATGAACGTGATCAAAGCGAGCATCAGGCGTAGCGAACGTGCCAATGGGAGCAGCTACGTGCCTGTGCACTTTTGATCGTTGACACTGTAAGAATTGCTTTACCCACATACGAACATCGTTATTCATGGACGGCCAGACGTATCGTGCAGCGATGAGGCGTAATGTGGCTGCGATACCTGGATGAGACAATCCATGAAGGGCATTGAAGATGAGACGGCGATAGGCAGAGGGTACGATGGGTCGAGGAAGACCGGTAGAAATATCACATAGGATAGTACCTGAGCTAGTAGCTAGGGATACTTCCTGACACTGAAGGGACGAAGATTGTGGTGCTTCTGTACAGACAGGATCGTTTGCTTGCGCGGCCGCCATAGCAGGAAGATCGAGGACCGGTAAAGTAACTGCATTCGCTCGGATACGTGAAAGAGCGTCGGCAACATAGTTCGACTCGCTTTTAATGTGACGAAGGTCTGTCGTGAACTGGGAGATATAGTCCAAATGTCTGCACTCTCGTGGTGAGTAGCGGTCAGACTTGGTATGCAGGGCATACGTTAAGGGCTTATGGTCGGTGAATAAAATGAATTGGCGTCCTTCTACTGCGTGCCGGAAATGTTTGATGGCGCAGTAGGCTGCAAGCAGCTCGCGACCAAAAGCGCTATATCTCGTCTCCGTGGGAGTAAGGCGTCGTGAGTAAAATTCCAGCGGTTGCCAACTACCAGAGATATTCTGTTGCATAACGGCTCCTATAGAGAAATCTGATGCTCAACCGCTATACTAAGCGTGGCTGATGGGTCAGGATGAGCGAGAAGTGTAACATGAGCGAGAGCCGTTTTGATCTCTGAGAATGCAGTACGTGCGGTATCGTTCAATTCTAATTTGCGTGGATTACCGCGTAGTAAATCGGTTAATGGTCGTAACCGTTCTGCCGCGCGAGGGATAAAACGTCGGTAGAAGTTAACTAAACCGAGAAAAGCCTTCAGTTCCTTGATTGAGGACGGCACGTTTTACTCCTTGATTGCTCGAATTTTGTCCTCGCAAGGCAGAATACCCTCATGTTTGATGATGTGACCCAGAAATATTATTTCTGATTTACCCAATTCACATTTCTCTGGGTTGACTACTATTCCATTATCCGAAAGACGTTGGAATAATAGCGTAAGGTGTTGATAATGTTCATCTACGTTTGATGATGCGATCAGCATGTCATCAATATAGACGTGAACAAAATCCAAGTCTCGTACTATGCTATCGATAAACCTTTGGAAAGTTTGAGCAGCATTCCGTAATCCAAATGGCATTCGTAGGAAATCAAACAGACCGAACGGAGTCGTGATAGCAGTTTTTTCGATGTCTTCAAGAGCGACTGGGATTTGGTGATATGGTTGTACCAGATCGATTTTAGAAAAGATAGTCGTGCCCTTGGGCGATGCCGTGATGTCGTGTATGTGGGGGATGGGGTAATTATCAAAGCGCGTAACTACGTTTAATGCTCGGTAGTCGCCGCATGGTCTCCAACTAACCCCATCCTTTTTGCGCACCATGTGTAAAGGAGAGGCCCAAGGACTGTGAGAAGGACGAATAATACCAGCAGATAGTAAATTGTCAAACTCACGTTTAGCGAAGGCTAATTTGTCCGGTGCCAGTCGGCGTGGTCTTGCCGTGACTGGTGGTCCGCGGGTGACTATGTGGTGTACCACACGATTGGTCACCGATGAAATCTCCTCGAGTGGTTTAGTTAATCTGGGGAATTTCTCGAATAAGGCGTGGAATTTATCGTCACGCGAATAAAAAGTGCCGAGGATTCGGTACGCGTACATCGGAGTCTATTATATTAATACTATTCTCATCGTTATCGGTCATGTCAAATATATATATTAAAAATTAATATGAAAATATATGACAGACGTGGATAGATAAAACAATAGACTCACCGAATTGCCTTCTTTAAAAGATTTGACCGAGGTTGAGGCGTGTTCCAATATTTGGCTCACCAAATGTAGCGTGGTGTCGAGTTGAGCTTAACTATGAACACCGCTACAAGACTACGTGCCAATAGACCAATAAGATTCCGGTAGGTCAAAATTCAGAAGGCGGATGATGGCTGTAGTCGAGATGTATTTGTTGGCGATCTCGTGGTATCGAAAGAATACCGAGATCGTGCCAAAGGAGTACAAGCGTGGTTACTGAGCGTAACCGAAAGTCAACGGGAGAGTAAGTATAGTGGCTGTCATTAGCACAGTCAAACAAACGAGCACAGTAAAACAGTCACTGGTACAATTGGTTATAATAATAATTGTTTTCATTGAACCAATCGCGTTCTGTTAACAAAAGTAGGTCACTACAAAGTACTAGAAAACCTACTTTATTGAGACAGACCAAGTTGCTTATGCTCAAGATAAGTAAACCCACCTCTAATAATGGAATTCACTTTGACTAATTCTGTCGAGTAGCTAGATTACATTTATGAACGTCATCATAAACAAAAAACCACACCCTAACAGCATTAAGAAGGCATGAAGAAACCATATGATTCACACTGGGTTGTCGAAAAGATACCTGGTATTGCTACATTCATTATCATATGTGTTTTGAGTCATCAACAATTGTTTACCTACGTTCAAAATCTAATTGATTTGTCGACGTTACCATTATTATTATTTATTCTGAAACTAGATCGCTTGAAAATGTTTTGCATCACTCTATTATACTCTTGCCATCTTGTTATTCCAATCGAAGATAAGTTTGAAAATAGGCCCAGAAAGTTGTTTATCTATTCTACTTTTCGTCTGCGTAGTTAATGTAACTATTATGTCAGATGAGTGCAAAAAAAAACGTCTTTCACGAAGATTTATTTGGAAGTGCTTTTGTAGACCAGAATGAATCTGCAGGAAGTGATTCTGATGGCATCAGCGATAGCGTTGTAGGGAATGTGAGTAAATCGCCAGCTATACCCAATGGATACACTGGAAAATTACGAAAAGGCCATCTAATCTTCGACGCATGTTTCGAAAGCGGTACTTCATTTGCCTTTCCTAATTATCACTAAGGGAATCTCGGAAAGGTTGTGTACGTCAGTGAATATGAGTATGATCTATTTATACGTCCGGATACATGTAATGCACGATTCAGAGTATGGTTTAATTTCACAGTGGAAAACACTAAATATGAACAGGTAATATTCATACTTTATCATTAATAATCAGAGAGTAATTTTCAATGTTGTGAATTTTAGTAAGACAAAGTCTTTGTATCGAGAAGGTATGTCCCCAGTTGTTAAATCGTCTAGCCGTCCTTCCTGGTAGGTATTTTATTCTATTATATACCTAACTCAGGTCTCGCATTCCACAAAAATGTGTTTTCTACTACCGATCCCCTGAAAAAAAGAAAAAATACGTTATGTCTTTCGCATTTTCTTTTGATTGCGAAGAGGACGTCTATCAATTCGCGTACTGCTATCCTTATACTTATAGCAGACTACAGACGTACTTAGGGATACTAGAAACTAAAAATTATACTCATTTCAAGAGAGAACTTTTGGGCCTGACAGTAGTAGGTACAATTACTTTTGAGCGATAAAACTTAGTTCTAAGCTAACTCGTAATATGTTTTGCTGAATGTTCGCGAACTGGCTTGAGTCATATATCTTTTCTTTAAGATTTGCTTTATATGAATTTAGACAGTAAATTTCATGCAGCTTTACAGTCTTATCACCTGTTTACTGTACTGTCTTTAGAGCTTTTAATATGTATTGTTATTTAAATGAGTGGCTTTTTCAGAGAATATACTTGATTCAGAGACTTTTGTTGCTTGGCTACCACCATATCTTGTTTCTCTGTTGGTCACATCCATGTGTTTGAATATGACCATGTGAGAAGTCTTGATATTCCTATTTATTTATTTATTTTAACACATAGGTATTGGTACAGGGAGGCACCAAATACATATGCGCCACACGAATCTCATTTGATTTGTGTGAGGGCTGTGATACTGCCCGGGTGCCCAAACCGAAGCAGGTGGTTTTCTTAGGGGGCCACACCCCGAGCCTTTGACCTGAACGTCTGATCCACAAGGCAGTGGAGCATCGTGAGGAGATGCAGTCCCATGGTAGCCGGTGACCAACGATTGGTTCATACGCCATTTGTTCCTTCAGGATACTGGAGCCCATGTGCACCATTGGTTTTTGGATCCGGTTAAAGCGCCGGACATTCGCTTTTCGTCCTCTCATTTTCGTAAACAACACCCCCGCCACGAGAAGGCACTGAGTAGGACTTCCCTGGCAGGGGCTATATACGCGTGGCCATATGAGAGCATTTCGAGAGGGAGAGCGGACTCTCCCCACTCTCGGCCGTACCAGGGCATTTGGGGGCTGATATTACTAAGTAAAAAGAGGTAGATTTTAGAAGGGAGACTTTTGATTAAAAATCAAACCGAGATTCTACTTATAAGTCGTTAATGAAGTAGATTTGTTTGGTAACAGTTATACCATCGAGCTATAGAACAACTGAGTCGTTTTCTGTAAGTAGAACAGTAAATTCTTATCAAAAGTTCACATTATAAGTCTTATGGAACCACACAGTAGTTTGGGTGAAACACTAGAAAAAATACAATACTATTAAATTTTTTCCGAATAATGACTAAGTAATTCTTCTACTTAAATTTTCCATGTGAATCAAATGCTCACACTTTGGTAACCGTGTCAGTGCTGTGATTTGGCTATTTTCTCGAGCTATTGCCTCTTTGTGACAGTTCAAAACATGATATTTGAGAGTAGAAATTTCCTAAAAGTCTTGTATTGAACATTTTACTAAAGGCAAGCTGTCGCACATAGTTACTGTTAGTCATTATAATGGTAGTATTCCACACACTTCTGATTCAGTTTGAATATTGTGTTTTTTTTATGAATGTTTGTCTGCTAATTTGATTATTCATAGAAAGGATACTCTATACATAAAGAAATACCGTTATTGTCTATTGTCCGTTCTTTCTGGAAATCTGTTAAATAGAAAATTCTGCCTATGTAGTAAACTCATAACGGAAAACAAGTAATGTTTGGTTATTGAGCTGTGACTTGTTCATTGAAATGAAGAAATTGGATGTTATCTTAAGCAGTTGGTTTAATGAGACAATTTTTGTTTCTAATTAAACTGAATAATCCTAAATATCCAACTTTTTGAATAGATTTTATTTACGAAACCCGATATATACTAGGCTTTCGTATTTATTAAAATCATGCTCGTATAATACGCATTTAAAATGAAACCAGTATGGATGCTTTTATACCAGCTATAAATTTAGGGAGAAATTTTGTTTCTAATTAAAATATCAGGAATATTAACTGTCTCAACATCACATTAGTTGCTTAATTTTAGTCTGTTATCCTCATATAGGTTGACTAAACATTAAGACCCACTCTTATTCGTCAGGTATCGGTTCTCTCAACAAGTTATTACTTTCAGTTATAGTGAAAACATGTCTTCTTTCCGAATCCAACAGTTATTTGAAACTTTCGTAAATTCAAACGTCAACCAAATGCAATTCGTGCAAAATAACCAAAGGAGAATTGTGCATTGACTTGTTATCTAATAGTTTAAATATTGAGATTTCGCACGTATAGATCAAATGGGAAACTTAATCCGTACCATGGAAGGAAGAACTTAATGTGCTATTCCAAGTGATTCTTTAAAATTACTTACAATATTTCGCGTGATATTTTACCATGTTTTGCGATTAGAATAGAAAATTAATTACTTTATCTTAATCTATTTATTTTTCATCTTTTTGCTCTTATATTTCTCATATCCAGCATCAATTTGTTGAACCTTTATTTGCTTTTCATTAACTTTATAAATAAATTATTGGAATCAAGATCGAGGCTGATGGTCACTATTTTGTAGCCTTCTATATTATAAGTAAATAGTTAGATTAGCTTTAAAGATAAGAATAACCAATCTCCTTTTCGATTGTTTTTTATCACCTTTATCATTATGAGATCAACGTATTGCCCTACATATTTCTATAACACCATTTATCATTTTGTGCCGTTCGTTAATTCATATTCTTTCATTAGCGAGAAATTAAACATGTGGTACTATAATGACACAGAATAATGCAACTGATTATCACTATACTATGTAACACTTTTTTATGACACCCTAGATTGGTGTAAAAGATCAATTTGTTCCACACAACACTTTCTATATTAATTAGTATCAAACTAAAAGTAGCAAAATGAATTTCGATTATGGTGAAGTCCATTGGTTATACGTATTCTATAAACTGGTCATTATCAGCCCACAACCCCAATAACTGATTAATTATCTGGACTTAAAGCTTCACAAACAAACCTAGTATTTTTCACCTGGAAAAAGTGCCACTGATGAGATTCAGTTTTAAAACAAGTTGTTCGAGTAAGTTTTTATTTGTTATCAATACAATACAACTAATCGAACTTCATCAGAGTCACTTGTGTTTGATTCAGGATTATTTTTTATATATATACCATAAAATACTATGATTTTAATTTCTTATGTTCATATTCGCAACTTATTTCCATTTTACAAGCAACAAAGACGTCTAGATCTTATAACAATTACTCATCCTAGTAATCTCAATAAAACGGCTGACAAAAAACGTGTGATATTTGTGACTGCTCGTGTTCATCCTGGTGAAACACCATCATCTTATGTTTGCCAAGGTAATCGGATGTACTGTTTTTAGTCGGGGCATTTTCATGTATTGTTAAATAGATTTTATACTTTATTTTGATTAGAATCCAAATTCGTAATGGTTGCTTGTTTGACGTATAAAATGTATTCTTCATGGTTAGGTTTCACTGATATTATATTTAATTACGTTAGTTAAGCATCCACTTAGACGAAATCTTTATCGTACAAATGGCATCAATAGATTTCAATAAAATTAGTTAGTGACTACAGAACGATCATTGTCAAACTATTGAGTCTTTAAACTATTAATTAAAATCCTGCTTATTTTGTACAAAGATACACACAAGTAGTTAGTCTTTAACGACTTAATGCTGAATATTATAGGTTAAGTTTCCACAAATACCTGTATTACTTCAAATGTTACTAGTTCTTTTTGAAAGTTAGTAGTTGAAGCAGCGTTTCGTCAATATCATGGTCATTTCGTGAACAAGTTACTAATTATCACGTAAATATTAATTCGCCTCCAATTAGATTTAGTATAAAGGCTATTTTTCTGTTTTTATCAACATTAATCTCTCAAATACTCTCAGACTCATACAATAACTCTAACATAGTGATTTTAGACATCTCAATAAAATTAACAGATCGATGACTAAATTATGGGAGTAAATAAATAAATAAATAAAAGAACAGACAAAAACTAATATTGTGATTGTATTATTACTACAAGGAGCTTGAGTTGTTCCGTTGTTGATATTCTTACGGAGCCGTTTAGCCGAACAGCGCATAGACGACTGTTAACGGGGATCCACTCTAATAGCGCTTGTTCCGCCCTCATGCTAAGTGCTATGCCTATACCTGCCAGTCCACGAGAACTAGCCATCGGGTCGCCAGATACACGGAGGGTGTATCTCGTTGGCTCTCCGTTTTGCCGAGGTGAGGTCAAGTGAATGACCACACTAGGATCCTGTATGCGTGTTTCGGAGACACAGCATACATCAATCGTAAGAGATTCTAAGGTTTTAGCCAAGGAAGCCTGCTGACCGATTTGGCATAGTGTGCGTACGTTGAAGGCTCCAATGTATAGTTTGGAGCGAGGTTTCAGTAGACCTGGGACAGTGTTTTGAGCACTAGAATCGTTGGCTGTGGTGACACTTGAGGAGGAAGCTAAAAGAGGAAGTTTAGTGTATAAAGTCGATGTAGGAGGAATAATAAGAATTGAAGAGGGAGGTTGACTATGAATACAGTGGTCTTGAGTGCTGTTAGAGGTATGAGGGCGGTTATCACTTCCCGGTTGCCCACACCGTGGAAGGGTTCTTCTGGAGGTACCTGAAAAGGAAATTGGATTAGAGTTGGTCATAGTGACCTGAGAGCGTGACCGCAGTGCCCAAGGGACAGCTGCTTGAGGTCGGTCACACACGACCTTTTTATGAGTGATTTTTGTGTTAGCTCCGTACTTGTTGAGTCCTTACCGCCGGAGACGGATATCCGTGGGATAAGGCGAGGTGTGCATTTTTAGGGTCGACCTTTTCTAACCCCACCCCTCCTTGTGGGAAGGCAGCATCGCTGTCATGCTGGTTGTCTGAAGGAAACACCTTACTGCTGTCACACCTCTGTACAGTCAGCAGTACGACTTCGCCTTCGGACCTTGGTTTTGTTGCTTTTAGTCTTACCGCTCTTCAACCGACCTGTCTGGCATGGTAGGACCTTGAGGAACGGTTGTTCCAGCCAGTATAGCTCAGTTGCTTCATCACGATAGGCAAGCCCGACCACCACGTCAAGGTAGCAACAACGGTCAGGCAGCGTTTGACTCTGTTGACCGAGAGGTTCTGTGGCAGTGTCTGTCATTGAAAGGCGTACCTCAGAAGTACATAAACCTTGTGAAGGCTCTTTACTCGAACACTACTAGTCGAGTCAGAGCTTATGGCGAACTGTCATCTGCTTTTGCAACCTCAAGTGGCGTCCGTCAAGGCTGTCCACTTTCTCCTTTTTTGTTTAACTTCATCATAGATCTACTGATGGAAATAACGCTCTCATCGACTGACTTCTCGGGTATTGATCTCCTACCAGGAGGTCCACTTATTGACTTAGAATACGCAGATGACATAGTCCTGTTTGGTGAAGACGCTGATGAAATGCAGAGTCTTTTGGTAGCACTGAGCAACAATGCTAGAATGTTTGGGATGCGCTTTTCTCCCTCTAAATGCAAGTTGTTGCTTCAGGACTGGTCTGCATCAACACCTGAACTAAGGATAGGGGGTGAAGTAGTCGAACGCATTGACAACTTCACTTATCTTGGAAGTCTGATCAGCCCTAATGGGTTGGTGTCTGACGAAATCTCAGCACGGATTCGAAAAGCTCGCTTGGCCTTTGCCAACTTACGTCATCTATGGCGAAGGCGAGATATCCGTCTATCAATTAAGGGACGAGTATACTGCGCGGCAGTTCGTTCCGTCCTTCTATACGGCTGCGAAACATGGCCTTTAAGAGTGGAAGATATTCGTAAGTTACTGGTATTTGATCACAGGTGCCTTAGAAACATTGCGGGTATCTGCTGGGATCACCGGGTAAGTAATAGTGAGGTTAAACGTAGGGTATTAGGGAATGATGGTAAATCAGTTGATGAGGTTATGAATCTTCATCGACTGAGATGGTTGGGCCACGTGTTGCGTATGCCTGAACACCGATTACCACGACGCGCAATGCTGACTAGTGCAGGGGATAATTGGAAGAAAGTTAGGGGCGGCCAAACCAAAACGTGGCATCAGTGCTTGAAGTCACTAACTTCTGGGCTGAGCCATGTTGGGAGATTCAGACTGCCTGGTTGGGGTCCGCGTGACTATCGTAACCAATGGTTGGAGACTCTTGGTGACATGGCTCAGAATCGATCACAATGGCGTCGGTGTATACACTCTCTGTCTTCCTTAAATTAAGAAATTAAAATCGCTTCATACCTGTCTAGGAACTAATTCTTTCTTCCTTTACTATCTCCTTATACACAATCTTTCTTCTATATATTACCACCACTGAATTAACTACTCCTATGAATCCGGTGTTCATCTTGTTGTGCTAATGCGGTATGGCAACTTGGACCGATGCATATACGTGCCTGGTCCTACGTTGCAGCTGACTGACTGACTGTTGATATTCAAGATCTCTTTTTGATCACTGTGACGAAAATTACCATTTCCAGTGTGAAAGTTAACACTGGAATGCAAATACATTCATCTAACGAGCTTCAAATTGGACAAGACGCGCTTTCTTAATGCCACTACCAACCATAACCCACTAATTCTGAAAACACACTATCAATGGAGTTTTAGCAAAACCAAACATCCTTATTCAAACTTAAGGTTACAATTTTTCTACGGTTGGATAGATTACATGTCGGTTATTTCACATGGTTACCTTCTGTTATGGGAATAACTGTTTGATGTACGATTTAGTCACTTGTGCTTAGCTTTGTGATAAATATTGTCACCGCAGATATTGTGAAAAAAACTTAGCTGGATTAACGCAAATAAAAACGAAATAAAAGTATTTGAGGGAATGAAAATAAAATCGTTCTGTGGTCTGTATGTGGTCGAATATATCTCATGGCGTCAGAAGTAGTAAGCCAGTTTTTTCAAAACAAAACTGAGATTTCTGTATGCTTCTTCAGTTGGATTACGTATGATACGCTAGTCAATACCATTATAGATTGCTTGATGGAATAAATGCACCTTATCTGCGCTCATATTTGGTGTGTTCGAAAAACTAGACTTCGTATTATATAATCTAATAATTCACTGCATCAAAATATTCCCATGGAGAATATTTACCCTTTTTCGAAGAGCATTTCTTAAATTTGAAATGTTTGGCCTATAAGTTATAATTATTGCTAAAACATGCTATATCTCGCAATCTGTTGTCCTTATTTTTAACTTAGTTTTCCTTTGATGAATATAATTGAACATAAGTTATGGGTTCTCAGAGGTAATAATTAATGAGAAATCTCTTTTGAGTCATGTGTGCCTGGTTAATAGACTTAAGGTTAAACAGCTTTAGCCTGCTTCATTTAGTTTAATAGTCAGATTTTACCAGTCTTTATACAATAGATATAACATACCTCCTTTCAGGTAGACATGTACATAATCTCTGTGTTAGATACTTGCCCTCTTTTTACATCAAAACTGAATTATTTCGTTGTAGTACAAGATGATCTCAGTATAGATATACTTGTGTTTTTCGTCAAAATATTATAGGATTTATTGATTTCATGGTTAGTAATCATTCGATAGCTCAACAATTACGTGAACGTTTAATTTTTAAAATTGTTCCAATGTTAAATCCAGATGGTGTTTATTTGGGAAATTATAGGTAAGTTCTTTTTTGTTTGCCGCATTACTAACAGTATTTTTTCCGATTTCATCTCACTCTTATAATACACTTTACAGTAAGTTTGTTGATAGTACACATTTTAACTTCTAGCAAAATAATTCTGTTCTGTTTGGTTTTACAATAATTAAATTTTGCTTACTTTTCAAATGTCCTTCTGTAAGACTTTCTTGCAACTGATTAGATAAGCACAAAATAGACGAACTCTAGTTAAGTATTTATTACCTAGGTATGATAAGAATAAGCAAAAAATTGAAAAACGACCAACATTAAAGGCGAGATGCATTTTTTTGAGTAAAGTCAAAATAAAAACCTCAACAATACTAATGAAACAAGGGGAAAACAAGCTGACATAAGTTTTGTATAATCCACGTAATAACGATATTTTCTAGAAATGTCGAATTAGGTATGAAAATGTCTAATCATTAGAGTACTTATTATTCAAATACATTAGTTACGAATAAATATTTTTTCCTTAAAACCCTAAAACTGAAAGTAGACTTAAGTGGAACAACCATTTAGGATTTGATTTTCTGTTACAACCGAATTTTTGGTTAAAGATACACTTTAGAAGTAGGCGGGTGTTTTAGAGAGTTTTGTTTATTTGGGAGAAAATTCAAATCACAAACAAGCATCGTCTTAAAGACTACTTAAAATCAAGAAGCACTGTCAACCTCACCAGCCCAAGAGTTTTAAGGGTGGGGGTGCTTACTATCGTGAATCTACAACCCAATATAAACTTGATTATTACTGCTTTACCACGGAGTCAATTAGTTGGAAGCAGGTGATGTGAATATTCAGGTCCAGTAAATCTATGATATGTGGTGGGCAACGAAAGCAAAAGAGATGGTAAAGGCGGCGGCTATAGGGAACACAAGACAACTCTACAGACTAATAAAAGAAACTGGAATTAATAAATCAAGTGTAAGTCAGACCATTTCGGAAAAAGACGACACTCTCATCTGCTCCCAGTCCAGACGCTTAGAACGATGGGCGGAACACTTTAAGGAGCAGTTTAGCTGGCCTTCAGCTACTCTACAACTACCCTCTATTCCCAGACAGTGTGAATGGAACATTGAAGTAGGTCCCCCAACTCGAGCTGAAGTTCAAAAGGCTATAGCTAATCTGAAACGAGGAAGGGCAGCTGGTCCAGACGGATTGGCCCCAGAGGTCTTTAAGGATGGTGGTCTAGTCTTAGCGATTAGGTTGACTAATATTTTAGCTAAAATCTGGGAGTTAGACGTTATTCCATCTAACTGGTCACAATCACTTATCGTCCCAATATTTAAGAAAGGGTCAAAATCATCCTGTGACAACCACAGAGGGATTAGTTTGACTAATATAGTATCCAAAATACTAGCTTCGATAATTTTCGGACGCCTAACTAAGACTCGTGAACTGCAAACACGTGAAAATCAGGCTGGCTTCAGACCTGGTCGTGGCTGCATCGACCACATATTCACCATTCGTTAGGTTCTAGAACACAGGCATACTTATCGGCGTCCGACAATGGTGGTATTCCTTGACTTAAAAGCAGCGTTTGACTCTGTTGACCGAGAGGTTCTGTGGCAGTGTCTGTCATTGAAAGGCGTACCTCAGAAGTACATAAACCTTGTGAAGGCTCTTTACTCGAACACTACTAGTCGGGTCAGAGCTTATGGCGAACTGTCATCTGCTTTTGCAACCTCAAGTGGCGTCCGTCAAGGCTGTCCACTTTCTCCTTTTTTGTTTAACTTTATCATAGACATCCTGATGGAAATAACGCTCTCATCGACTGACTTCTCGGGTATTGATCTCTAACCAGGAGGTCCACTTATTGACTTAGAATACGCAGATGACATAGTCCTGTTTGGTGAAGACGCTGATGAAATGCAGAGTCTTTTGGTAGCACTGAGCAACAATGCTAGAATGTTTGGGATGCGCTTTTCTCCCTCTAAATGCAAGTTGTTGCTTCAGGACTGGTCTGCATCAACACCTGAACTAAGGATAGGGGGTGAAGTAGTCGAACGCGTTGACAACTTCACTTATCTTGGAAGTCTGATCAGCCCTAATGGGTTGGTGTCTGACGAAATCTCAGCACGGATTCGAAAAGCTCGCTTGGCCTTTGCCAACTTACGTCATCTATGGCGAAGGCGAGATATCCGTCTATCAATTAAGGGACGAGTATACTGCGCGGCAGTTCGTTCCGTCCTTCTATACGGCTGCGAAACATGGCCTTTAAGAGTAGAAGATATTCGTAAGTTACTAGTATTTGACCACAGGTGCCTTAGAAATATTGCGGGTATCTGCTGGGATCACCGGGTAAGTAATAGTGAGGTTAGACGGAGGGTATTAGGAAATGATGGTAAATCAGTTGATGAGGTTATGAATCTTCATCGACTGAGATGGTTGGGCCACGTGTTGCGTATGCCTGAACACCGATTACCACGACGCGCAATGCTGACTAGTGCAGGGGATAATTGGAAGAAAGTTAGGGGCGGCCAAACCAAAACGTGGCATCAGTGCTTGAAGTCACTAACTTCTGGTCTGAGCCATGTTGGGAGATTCAGACTGCTTGGTTGGGGTCCGCGTGACTATCGTAACCAATGGTTGGAGACTCTTGGTAACATGGCTCAGAATCGATCACAATGGCGTCGGTGTATACACTCTCTGTCTTCCTTAAATTAAGAAATTAAAATCGCTTCATACCTGTCTAGGAACTAATTCTTTCTTCCTTTACTATCTCCTTATACACAATCTTTCTTCTATATATTACCACCACTGAATTAACTACTCCTATGAATCCGGTGTTCATCTTGTTGTGCTAATGCGGTATGGCAACTTGGACCGATGCATATACGTGCCTGGTCCTACGTTGCAGCTGACTGACTGACTGAAATCTATGATATATTTCTTCGCAGTTCTTATTCAATGCCATTGTTGAGTAACTGTTTTATCTCTGACCTGTTTGACTCTGAATAGTTCTAGTTTGTGATGAAAAAGATACTTCTGAAGAATTATTTATTCCATGATAAAGGTGAACAGGAATTTATGATAAACTAATTAATAGTGGATACGTATTTGATTCAACACCAAACTTATCATAGTATTTCTTCAATGTAATTTACAAACAAATTACAAAAAAATATATAAAATGGATGTTTTAGAAAAAGAATCAGTGCAACAATGAGTAGAATACATAAGGTTGCGTTAAATTAAAGCAATAAGGTAAAATATTGAAGTTTTTAGTAAAAATCTAAGATGTATGGCTATGTCGTACCATGATACTTTTTATTCACATTTGCCAACGTTTACAAACATTAAATTTGTACTACAATGAAGCCTTACCAACGAATTTACAAATGTAGACCTATAGTTAATGAATTTACAATCTATAATCGTAATCAAAGTTATTTTGATGTCCCCAAATTATTTGTTAACTATAAGTTGAATCACTGTTCCTAATATTCATTAAAGTGAATGTCTAATTTTAATAACGATTAATGATAGTTGTATGTGGTTCACATTTTAATTTTTGTCTTCTTTTTCTGTATGCTACAACAACTATAAAATATGTGTAATACTCCACCACTATAGACAAATATGATAAATAATGACAATAAAAATGTCTTAAAATGGTTTTGTTCTTAGTTTAAGAAACAGTTTAATTCTCGATATCTTTAGATCATCGTTAATGGGATTTGATTTAAATAGACAATGGCAGTCTCCATCCTTATGGGCACATCCTACTATTTATGCGACAAAACAATTGTTAATGGATTTGGACAATAATCCAGTAAGTTATAAACTTTTTTAGAAACTTTTGTATTTGCCTAATTTATATTGTGAACATTTTTTCAAATGTAAACGAACAACTAGATAAATAAAGACTCGATAAAACAAATTGTGAACGCTATTTGTTCTAATTTTTATACTTGAAACTTTGTAATCTATCAAACGAATTACAAAATCAGTGTTTTGTATAATCCTTTATGCATCTTCATTGCTTGAGAAAATGTTTTCATTGAGTTTAAGTTTTCAAGGCTAACTAAAACTTTCATGAATATTCATTTTTATAAGGTTCAGTAATCGAACGAATTACAAGTGTTAGTAAATTATTATTCTAAGTAATTCATTTATTACACTTATTGATGATAAGATGATTAAGTAAACAATGTTTCAGTATTTGTTTGGGAGAATTACTGTTTGTACAACAAATCCATAGGTCAATTTACCCGTCATGAAACATTAGAAATTTCTTTGTTCAAGTTTCTAAAGGACTGTTTGTACATTTGAGAGATAATTGTTAGCTTATTTCGGTGTACTATGTTTGTTCATTCAATATTGTCTTGTGATGAGTACAACTTTGTAACTCCAGCAATGAGGCTAAAGTTGGTTCATTTTCCATTAGTTACATATGCAATAACAGGAAACTTAGGCTCAAGGTTTTCTATTAATTTATTTCACCCATTTTAAAGAAAATAAAATGAAGTCGATTTTCTATTGGTTCTCTTCATAGGCTAGCTTCAGCAGTGTACACCTTTGACCCTATATAGGTTGTAACTATTGTCTTTTGGGTTTATTACCCCGTGGTTTTAAATCGTTTCTCAGTTTATATTGGCATGTGGTGAAAATGTATTTTATATGAAAAGATTACTAGTTCATAGTTTTGTGCTTGAATTTATCTTAAACTTTACCTAGTTCGTCGATGTGAATTTCTTCATCGATATACATGCACACTCTACACTAATGAATGGATTTATGTATGGAAATATATATGAGGATGAAAAACGGGCAGAAAGGCAAGCTAGATTTCCAAGTTTGTTAAGTCAGTTTGCTGAAGACTTTAGTTTACCACAGACGAATTTCAATAAAGATACTTTAAAAGCTGGAACTGGTCGACGGTAAATATTTTTTTATGTATCATGATATCTGTTAACATCATAAAGCAGTCGATTTTTCTTCATGTATTTGAGTTTACTTGTGATTTTTAATCTGATTCACTCATAATTAAGTATCAGAAACTAATTTTAACTGTGACAAACTTAAAATATGGTGCAAAATATTTAACGATTATTAAGAAAATAATACAAAATAAAAATGATGAAAAAATTTTATGTGATGAGATCGTTAAAATTTTTTTCAGGTAAGTTGATTAAAACCAATAATTAGATGAATCTGAACCTAAATTTTATATTTCCTGATATTGTTTTGTGAAACTTATTCTGTTATGTCTTGTGAATCGAATGCTACTTTGTGTATCTGGTCGTCGCTGATTGTTATGTCGGAATCGCTGACCACTTATGCTCGGAACGAAGGGACTTCCACAATTCCCACGACGCGAAAGTAAGAACACAAGACTGGTATAAGCGAAGTTTTATTAGCCCAAAACACTATGATGACGACGACGACCTTATTCGAAAATACACTCATTTATATATTGATCGTACACCCATTTTGATTAATAATTAGAATGAAATCACATATATGAAAAAATACTGTTTTCACAAATCACATATAGAGCATAGTTCATGTCAACTGAATACAAGAATGTCGTATATTATACGGAATAAAATATCATACGAGAAAAGAAAAATACTACATTGAGGGCGAGACTCTAATTTAGGGACGAGCCAATCAGAAGCGTTTGAGCCGCTTCAAGGTCACGGAGCCAAGTTTAACACCTGATGCTCACATATGATCGGTTTACAGCGGATTTTAGAGAAGGGGTGATTATTGAGAGGCTACAAGGGATAGGATTACTAAAAAGTTCTTGTACGTGAGACTGCAGTTATCAAATGACTGCAGTAAAGTGTGCAAATAACCGTGGTGAGATTATATTTCGTTGTCCTTCATGTTGGAGGAGAAAGTCTGCTAGAACGGGGACTTTCTTTGCTCGATTGCTACTGAAACTGAATCAGATTATGATAATAGTTGCAAATTGGGTAATAAATACACCAGTAACACTGGCTGCGGCGTTTGCAGTTGTTTATGAAAATTCAGCAGTCCAGTGGTATGATTACTGCCGTGCAACTAAAATAACACTTGCAGAATAATAAATAAGAACTTTCGTCTAAATTTGAACGAATAGTTTCACAATATTTGGGCGCCGAGTTAATGTTAGACATTAAAGAGAAAAATGTATTTGTAAAATCTCAGCGAATGAATTTTTAAGTAAATCCAACGTTTCGCCTGGCAATCTGGTCCAAGCTTTTTCAAGGAAATAATTTCCTTGAAAAAGCTTGGACCAGATTGCCAGGCGAAACGTTGGATTTACTTAAAAATTCATTCGCTGAGATTTTACAAATACATTTTTCTCTTTAAAATAACACTTGTACACCAATCATTTGGAGGAGTAGGATGTATCGTGCAGACAGATAAAACGGCAGTGAGAAAGCGAAAATACAACAGGGGACGTAGTATAAAGTAGGATTGTGTAAGTAGCATTTCCGTAAATATACTCGACAGGTACTTGGAACTTATGACTTTTTATACCGTATGCAATATGATTTCAAAACATCTGAAACTTTAGCAAACATTGATAAGTTTTTAAATCATGCAAAATAAGTATATTCACTGTAATCCATTAGTATCTTCTAATATATTTCTACGTTATGCTAGGTGTCTTCTAATTGGCTATTATTCTCAAGGTCACTCAAAATTCGTTCAAAGGTCGTCCCTAAATTAGAGTCTCGCCGAAAATTGACTTTCTTTCCATCATATCATATTCACACCTTGATGAAAGCTTTTGCGTTTGACATTTGGATTGGCATTTTGTAATGCTGATATAGCGATCAGCTGCATGATTGCATAGTGATCAGTGTTACGTTTTCATCATAATAATTTCATAACGGTTGTAAGTCTAGGAAATCAGATACTGTGGTTCACTTCAGTCACAGATACTATTTGTGATTTATCAGTTTGTCAACATTGTTTTCAATCACAACAATAAGCGATAATAATAAGGACTAGACACGCATGACATTGGTCACCCAGTGATCAATCAATTGTGATTACATCTCAGTCCAACAGGAGGTCGTTCGCGGCCCGGATAGCTCAGTGGTAACGTCTCTGACTGTGAAGCTGGGTGACATGGGATCGAATCCGCCAGGGAGCACCAGTTCCCTCAAAGATTACATGTACACCTTGTTGACGAGTGCCAAGTAGCACGAAACCCGGGTCCAGGGTTTCCTGTCGACTACCTCCAACCACCATCTAATCCAGCGTCTTCTCTAATTTCCCCTATAACTGGAAGTTGGTTTGTTCTCTCCCGCAGTAGGCTGTTGCTGATAGTTTCCGGCCAACAGACATTGAGTATCTTACTTAGACAATTATTTATAAATACCCGTACATTTTTGATGGTGGTTCTGGTTGTTCTCCAAGTTTCAGCTCCGTACAGTAGGACTGCCTTGACGTTTACATCGAACATTCTGATTTTGAAGTAAGCCGATAGTTTTCTGAGTTCCATATGTTCTTCAACTGTGGTAATGTCGCTCTTAGTAATCTGTGACTTAACATCTGCATCGAATCTCCCTTGTTTATCGATAATACTACTGACCAGGTACGTGAAAGTTTCCAGCTCTTTCAGAGTTTCTCCATCAAATGTGATTGGGTTGGTGTTCTCCGTATTGGATTTCAGATTTTTCTATTGTGAATGTTATGACCTACCACTTCAGAAGATGCAGCTACACTAGCTGTCTTCATCTAAATTCGTTCGTACGTATGGGGTAGACGGGCCAGGTCATCTGTGAAGTTAAAATTATCCGGTTTCATGCATGCTGTCCATTGTATTCCGTGCCTCCTCTCAAATGTAGAGGTCTTCATAATTTAGTCAACCACCAGAAGAAAGAGAAAGATGGAAAGTAAGCAGCCTTGTTCGACTCCGGTCCTCACTTGAAATGCATCTGTCTGTGAATGTGAAGCATTGTTGCAGTTTCTTTTATGTCTGACTTTAATGCTTCAGATGGTATGTTGTCTGGTTCTTCTGATTTCCTACTCCTATTTTGTCTGATGGCTATGATGATTTGTTCGATCGTTGGTGGAGTGACATCTATAGGAAGGTCTGTGTGTGCTGCCTCAAAATCTGGTGGGTTCAGTGGAGCTGGTTTATTCAAGACCACTTCGAAGTGCTTTGCCCACCTATCCCACTGTTCTTGGATCTCAGTGATTGACTTACCTTATTTGTCCTTGACTGATCGCTCTAGTTTACTATATTTCTCTTTCAGTTTCTTCGTTGCATGGTATAGTTGTCTCATACTTTCTTCTCTGTTAGCTTTTTCATCTGGCATTACGTGATCTTCCACGTATTTCTGCTTGTTGGCTCTAGTACACTTCTTCACTAGCTTGTTTGCTTCTGTGCGTTCGGTTTGTGCCTTGGTTTCTTCTGTTTTTGTTCGACTGTTGTTGGTTGCTATCTACCTGTTCTTCCTTTCTCGAATCTTAGTCAGGTTCCTGATAGAAATCCATTTTTTATGATGGTGCTTCTCGTGATCCTGCACCCTTCGGTACGTTTAGGTTAGTGCCTCTTTAGTCCCTTTCCAATTGTTCCCTATACTATTTTCACTTATTTAAGCATATATTGTAGGGCCTGGAACCCATTATTGAAAGCCATCTTGAATTCGTTTTGTCAGTATCTCTAAGGAAGACTGTATTGAACCTTTGTAATGCTGTTTCCACAGTTGTCCAGTGCTTCTTTGGCCTCACTTTCATCTTGGCAACCACAAGATGGTAATCTGAAGCTATGTCAGCTCATCTCCTGGCTCTCAGCTCTTCCACTGACCTTCTGAACATTTTATTTATGCAAATATAATCGATCTTCTTCTCTGTAGTGTGATCAAGTGAGAGACCTAAGTAGCTTTGTGTATATGTTTGTAGGGGAATATTATGCTGCCTATAACCATTTTGTTGAAGACACATTGATTTGCATATCTGTCATCATTCTTGTTCCTTTCTCTCAGTCCATGTTATCCCATGATATTTTCATACTCGATGTTGTCCATTCCGACTTTGACGTTTAGGTTTTGTATCAGGATGGTAAGGTCCTTCCCTGGCTACTTCTTTACGATCAACTGTAGCCTATGATGAAACTGATCTTTATCGTCGTCATTGCTTTCATTGTTGGATGCATAGCACTGGATAACATTCTATGCAATCCTCTCTTTCTTCGATTTGAAGAATGCTTTGATGATCCTGGATCCACAAGATCCTCATATTGAGTGCTTTTCGTGCTTCTTTGGATAGGATCGGTGCAACTGGTTGTGTGTGAATAAGTGGTTATAAGTGTATTTATTATTTAAACAAGGAACTCACATGATTATGTAGTTAAACACAAGGTTACAATGCATCATATAATACAAATCTAAACACTACTATGATATTTGTGACTTAAAGCTGAGTAATAAATTTATATTTTGTACTGCAATTTAAAGGTAGTAAAAGAGACTTACAATTCTAATTGTCGAAAGCCACCATAAAACCACTGTTTCGGGAATTACCAACATCTATAAACGAACTTACTAAAAAATAGCCACTCCATGTTTGGGATTTTTTCTTTAATCCCATTCATAACAGCTGTGGGTTATCGTTTTGATAAACCTACTGTTTAATCGTAACCAGATTTCTCGTTGGGTTTATCATTCACTGTCATTACTGGTTAACTGCTTGACAATTTACTAGTTGATCAACTAGCAATCTTTAATTTAATTTAAGCATTTATTGTGATTATCCAGCTTCAATGAATTTTTTTCTTCTGTCCGTTCATCTCTCACATATTTAAACAAGTTATATAAACGAGAATTTACTAACATGTCTTATTGTATGGCGATTCTGTTAAGATCATGGTTTTAAGAGGATAACTGACATTTTTATAGAAGAATATTTATTATTAATAATCTATAGTTATTGTATACCTCCATCGTAAAAATTTTATTTGTTAAAACTACTTTTTATGTGCTTTTTTAGTTAGGTGATAAAATATTTGTTTGTAGATGTGATTATATATATATATATATATATATATATATATATATATATATATATATATATATATATATATATATATATATGCTGCATTATATTACTTTCTTGTAGCACATTAGGTGGTATTCTGGACGATCATACTATTTGTTATACATTAGAAGTTTCATTTTACAGTTACACAAATATGTTAACTAATGAAATGATTCCATATACCGAAGAAAAGTGTATCCTTTAACTTATTAAACAAATTTTCACTATATTCATTTATTTGTCTATAAATATTTCTTAATATGAAATAAATATGCATTTCTTGTAGATGTTTCGGGTATAAAGTTCCATTTTTCAAAGAGTAAGAACAAAGATTTGGACAGAATAATGGGAATTTATTTTATTTCGTTGGGTTCTCGTCTGTTACTTAGATCCCCTTATGATTTAAAATCAAAACTACCATATGAGATAACATACTTGTGCTATTGAAGTTGATTAGAGGTTAGTATGTATCGTCATGATGGAGATAAGTTCCCAACAAAGTTTACTAATTGGAAGAAGTTTTGTAAACATACACAATATGCGAGAGAAGATTCTAGAACATTGAGATTACAATTAAAGGTCACAGAGCTAAAAAGGCTAGTTGATTTCGCAGTGAAGCAGTTAGACACAGGCTGGTGGCGATTAATGATAACATGAACTAAGATCAGTCCGTTAAAAATAAATATATGGATTAACAATGGTACAACCTAGATGAAAGAAATGATTTTGGAAAATAATTTAATAAAGTAAGGGTAATGTTAACACAATATAGAAAGATTTACTTCTGTTTCTTTTTGAACATGTAAAGAGATGGAAAAGACAACGGCTGTGGGTAACACCAGGCAGCCTTTCAGACTGTAGATCGAGAGGTTGTATGACAGTGTCTGTCATTGAAAGATGTACCTCAGAAGTACATACGCCATGTGAAGGCTCTTTACTCGAACACTACCAGTCGAGTCAGAGCTTATGGCGAACTGTCATCTGCTTTTGCAACCTCAAGTAGTGTCCGTAAAGGCTGTCCATTATCTCCATTTTTGTTTAATTTCATCATAGACCTACTGCTGGAAATAACGTTCTCGTCGACTGAATTCTTGGGAATTGATCTCCTTCCAGGAGGCCCACCTTGAAAAATGTCGATGTATCAGCCCGATGCCCTATCTCAAAAGGGACGTCTTGAAAAAAGCTATTGAAAGATTTAATCCATTGGAATTTGTACATTTAAAAATATGTTCTCAAAGTTGAACCTAAACTCTTCTTACTGCTTTTCCAATGCAACAAGTTTGGCAGATACTTATAAATATGTTCACGCAGTTGGTGGCAGTATGAAAGGTGTACTATGTGAAGTAAATGAGACCCATGAAGCCTTATACGATTCAGGAGTTGTACCAATGAACACAATTGATTATGCTACTAAGATGCAGTAAACTCGAATCGACTAATCTAAATACAAGATAGATAAGTCTAATAAGGATTTAATTGATTAAATAGAAGTCGATGATAACCAGGTAGGCGACTCCAGGCAGACTACATGTCGTCCCAAGGCCATACAAAAGTAAGAAATACAAGTATGGCAGGTTATTGTTAGTGCCTTATCCACCTGACCAAGATCACTGTTCATACCTTCGTTCGGATCACTAGTACTATGTATGTATGCCCATGGTCTATAAACATAATTTTTTTTGTATTTTTCTCATAAAGCTTCCTTCCCTTAATCAGATAATAAGTGTTGCATCATATTGTGAGACAAGTCAGCAATACTCATCTCGTATCACTGGGTTTTTCGATAATTTCTTTTTCCTTAGAATTAATGATGCACCTTCCCAAATGTACTTAAATTTCCGCTTGATGAACATTGTTTCTTATTAATAATGAATGGTAATTTCATTCGTCATGAAGCATTTTATCGACCCCGAAATGTTATAACTTTATACAATTGTTTTTTTTAACCTGATAGAATTCATAGCAAAGTTGAGAATGGTCGCATATACGAATAATAACCAATCAAGCTAACATAAAATCTAGTTTATTTTAATAATCTTTTACTTGATGATTTGTTTCATTTATCTTGTAATCGACAAGCATATCCTTAACCATCATTCATCATTTATTTTTGAACAAAAATATCTTTTAGATGCTCGACTAGGCAGAAATTTAGCTAGAACATTTTATGAATATTATTCAAATGAAGGTATTTTATGTAACAAGTCGTCGTCATCTAGAGTTGATTCTATTCATTCACCTGGCAATATTTCGATATCAAATTATTCCTTACATAATAATCATAATTTATCAAATATCAATTCAGAGGATAACCACAGTCAACATCATCACAGTAATAATGTAAATAATTACGGAATAAATAAAGAATCGATTGACCAACCCACTTCATCTAAAGATTGTTTAAAAGATAGACTAAAATATAATTATGATCAGTTAAAAAGATTAAATCAGACATTTAATTCCTTAAGTTGTTGTACAATATCAGATTCATTTTCAGCAAATGCACATTCATTGAGATCAACATCAAAAGATAAGAGCTGAAAAATAAGTAAGCTAGTTATTCACAAAATTAAAAGTGTTAACCCATTTGTGTAAATCCATTTAATTCTGTTCTTTATAAGACTGGTGATTACATTTCTTTTAACAATAGCTAACAGCCTTGTATGGGCATTTCATTGAAACCAAACTATATTCAGTTAAAAGAAAGAATGACATCATTTTACCGGCGATTAGGATAAGTGTTTCATCCTGTTATTGGACTACTCAACAGCGCACATCCACAACCCCGCCAAGGACTGAATCTATGACCTGAAAGCCTCACGACGAATGTTTAGTCTTTTATTGTCATTGAATTTTTTGTGATTCTACAGTAAATAAGAAACTAGATTAAGTTAGAATCTTACTTTTAGAAGAATAAGACCAGTAAAACGTTGTCAGTATTGAGCACAAACAAGTGTCCATTTCGATGTGGCCGAAAGAAATAAAAAACTACGTCAACCAATAAAGCTACTTAATTCACCAACCGAATGCAAAAAAGGAATTAAACATTATAGTGCTAGTTACTCATAAGTAGTATGGATTTGTCTTGTAAATCTCCCCAATGTTGTGTCAATACAGCACAGTGAACAGATTTGGAACACATGTTATTTTGCCATTTTCCATTTACTACTAGTTTGGAACTGAATAATTACGTACATAATGTTATATAAAGTTTCATATTGATCGTACTCTGTTGATTTTGGTGTTATGGTTTAAGGTTGTTGATATTCGGCTCTTGATAACTTGTTTGCTACCCCATATTCGGTTGAATCAGTTTGATAACATAAAAAAAGCTGTACTATAAACCTATAAAAATAAATGAGATGTGATTCTCAGTGTGTTGTTAACAATTATCCATATTTGGCAGCCTCATTGATTTTTCGGATGATTAATCAAACTGGGAAATCGATTGACTGATTAGAGGAATGTTTAAATCTACCAGAATTACATCGTCGATCCTCAGTGACATCTGACAAAATCATAAAATTAGGATAAATGACCTAGAATTATATTAACTGGTCGTTGCATAGTAGCCAATATTGATCGAATATGGAACCTGATCATTATACTAAATTACTTGATATTGAAGCTCGCTTTGTTTATTTTTAAACAGTAGGAAAAACTCTGGACTTGCTTCTTGTCGATTGCCTTTAATCACCTGACATCCAATTCTAAGTTGGTTAATTTTATAAAAATAGTGAGCGAAATATACCAACTAAATAATAAACCTTATTAAATTTTAAAATTTGGAAAGCTCGAGTGAAGGTTAATCCAAAATGGAAATTTTCCATTACATTCACAAAAAATACTATGTACATCAAATATTTATATAAAAATGAAGTGATTAAAGCATCTTTTTCTTTTTTTCTTTTTGATTTTGCTTTCAATGTCATTTTTTATTCCGCAGCCTAATAAATTGTATATGATGGGAAAATGTAAAATAATAATTACACAGCGATGCCTAAAATTACTTCTTCACTTCTGAATAAAAAATAGATCAAATGTTTAATCAATATTTCCTACACTACTGGCTTATAATGTATTTGGTTTTTTTTGTACATGTGTTTTATTCTTCCCTTTCATTTCTCTCTTTCTAGTAAAATAACGATAATAGACAATGAATGAATGAATATTTTGCTGTACACTTCACTGTACTATAGTCTATCTACTGAATTGTAAATAAGCTGTTTGAACAACTGTGCTGTTAATATATCTATTAAAAACAAATGTACAGTTTAATTTAATGTTGATTTAAGCTTCATATAAATGCCTGTGTTGTTGTAGAGTTCTTTGAGATAAACGGTCTAACTATTGAGTTATCATTGTTGTTCTTCATAATATGATTGACGCCTACTTTATATAGAAGTGAGCTTTTCAGTTATTCACTATGCTCTGAATTAGATTGTTCTAATAGACCTGTTTTTATTCCTAGGGTTCGTTGACTTCGTTTGACCTTATATTTTTATTGACTGTCCTGTTCCGTTGATCTCAGACGCGCTTGTGTAACAATTGAAGCAAAGCTTTATAAACAGCAGTTTTAGTGTCACAGATCTGAAAGTTCTTTACGTAAGAAAGTTATTGTGATCATAACAATAGCCTTCAGTTCTTACTCAAATAATCATCTTCCACACACAAAATATTAATGATTTAACTTTAGCAGAACATTTATTATATCAGGTACATCTCTCATTACAGGGACAAAGTATTCTGTCCCAAATATGTTCACTATCCTAATGTTTAAAATGTGACGTTAGAAAAATATTTTTTATCGATCACTACTTGTTTTCAATAACTTCATCATCAGGCTCTACAGTTATAAGTCCATAATTATGATATTTTACAAAGGCCAAAAATAAGGCATGTATTAATGAATTTGACAATGTTGTGTGTTGAAAATGGTGAACATTTGCATCTGTTACGATATATATACTTCAAAATTGTATTATTTGCAAATTAGAAAAGTCATTCAATAAAGGTCAGGATGATTTAGAGTAAAGTGTCCAGTATATTCTATGGGAATTTTTAAACTGCTATTTCATAAAATTCAAAATTACTCTAAAAAATATGAGCTATATAAATCATAAATTCTACAATACATTTCTATATTTATATTCATGGATGATTCCATTCCTAGACTATATGTCGTTTCGACTAATTTTTTCTGCACTTAGTTCACACATTTATTGTATTGACCATTTGTAGTACATATAAGCGAATGGTATTGTTTTTAGTTAGATCACCATTAGATTTTACTTTAATAGACAGGAATATTTAAATGGGTATATGAAAATGGTAGTAGTTATTAGGAATAATAAAAGTTCTAGTCAAGAGTTCAACTTAGGAGTAGATTAAACTTGGGTAAATAGACTTAAAAATCATAATCACAAAATGAACTTAAAATTACATAACAAATTTTGTGAATATAAGATAGTGAGAATATAAACGGAGATGAAGAAAGATAAACAAATGATGTGAAAAGTTTACGGTATGGTTAATTGAGTCATACCCAGACAAAGAAAAGACGGGGATGTCACGAATTTCTTCTGAACAAAAACTAGGGTTATAGATTCGGATCCCTATACTTCTATATGTAGAAGACGGGATCAAGCCCCACTGAGTAACGACACAGGTACACGATAAGTCACATGAAATTATTCGCTTTTACCTACCATATGACTAGTATCGGCCACGTGTGACAAGATAGAGCTACACAGTCTTTGGCTCTTTTTAAACCATGCTGGGAGATGTCCACTCATTAGTTAGTTGGATTGTCTGTTAGCACGTTCAAAATAGCCATCACAGGAGCAATGCAATTGTAGGGACAAATTTAGGTAGTTCATGTTTTGTGATCTGTTAGAAAATATAAACGCAAAATTAGCTGCATAAAATGTCCTGTTAACTGCCCTTGCTAGTTTATCATGCGGGACATCGCTAGGCTCATACCCACTGAGTTATACTTCTAGGAAAAGGGATTTCTTACGGAGCGGTCCATATATCCAAACCATTTTTTCCTGCATAAAATTGCTCTAATAAATTCGGGTAAACTATTTTTGTCAGTATGTTATTCATAAACTACAACTCTATTATCGTATTCCCTGGGTGGATATTTCTTGTTCTGCTTCCGGGAGATCGAACCAAATTTCTTTCGTAGCGAATGAGTGAAAAACTATACAGACTGGTCGATAATCTCATTGTTAAAAAGAGATCCGTCAAAATTGGATCTAAACATGAAGTCATGGCTACTCACTGACGATCTTAGAATACAGCAATTCTAAATAACGTTAAAATACGAACTAACAGAGTTGGTTCTTAGCATAATTGATTGATTTTTCTGGTAGAGTTTAAAATAAATGTTCCAACTTTGTAGCTGTTGTATGAAATTACATAGTCCAACTAGTTGTAGGCATTAAACAACCAGTAAATCTACTAGTCCGATCCAGTATATCTAACGTTACTCAATAGAATAACCCGAATTGGGTCACAAAACAAATTTCATGCTACTCATCATATTCCTTCTCTGGTTACAAATTCCTGAAAACCGTATAAGAAATGTGATGAAGTTTATTTTTATCCTTGTATAATGTATCTTAAATTCTATTATTGTGTTTTTGCTGTACACCAATAACAATAGTTTATTAACACTATTCGTCACAATTAATCCGCTAATTAGAACACTAGAAGCCCTAATGTATGGTCACATGCTACGTGTATTCATAAGATTTACAACTCACGTAACTGTACATTTAAATTACCAGATCCCAAATAAAAAATCACATAACAAAGAGATTCGTGACTTACATAAATAACTAACGATAAGCGATATTCAAAAATTTATTAACTTATTCTCTGAGTTAAACAAAAGTTTACATTCAGAAATACCGTAAAATTGATTAGATTGTAGGTGAGTTTTTTGGTTACTGATTAAAACGGTATTGTGGGAAATAATTAGCCTGGCTGATAAAAATCTTAGCCAACATTGGAAGCGTTGCACTGATAGCAAAACGTTCGAACTAAGAAATGAGAGTGATACATAACAAACAAATATGCACAGATGTAAAACCATGTTATTCAGCATATGAGCCTTGTTTGGCTTAAAATGATTTGGATTCTTAACACAACAGTTCGCGGAAAGTGACTCAGTGCCTCAATGAGTGAGGCATTTGATTTCAGACCAGAAGATAGCGGGTTCGTGTCCCATTGAGGTCAATGATTTGCTCTCCTCCCCCTTATCATCTCTAGGATTATTTAGAACCAATTATCGTAAGTGATTGACTTCAGTTTCGGTCTAAGGCTGAACTAACAGTGAAGTATACTATGAGGATTTTCACCACTAATGTAACTATTTGAATACAAATTCATCGAGTTTGTTTTGCAAGTGATTAGTCAATGAACACGTCAAGATTCGAAAACGCTGTGACTAAATTTTTCGTAGACATATAATTGGTTATGAATGAAGATGATTCAGATGGATATTTGCGGAATGGAGCTTCCGTGTCTAGTTTTTGTGGCCGCATATTTGACTCCAATTGGATCGTATACATATCGGCTATCCTCGTATGTAATAATCCACTTACATCGTGTTAGTGAACAACGGAAATAAATAAGCCAAATACGAGAATGGATTTTAAATATGTATATTTCATGAACTCATTAATTTGAACAGGCAATCAGGGAGACGAAACAAAGAGGGGCGAGCGAAACAAATTGGAGAAACGAAGAGAAAAGAGCGGAGCAAAATGACGCGCAGTGGAGAAGGCATGTAAGCTAACTCGGTTTAATCAAGCGTTATTCAATATTTAAAGTCACACAAAAATAAGCTATAGACATCTGATGAGTAGGATAACAAGTGTACACACATGCACTCATATAAAAAGTCAGGATTGATAAGTGAATAATTAATAAGATCAAAACGTGACTCAAGAAGAATGGATAAGTTGGCCTGTCCAGAAGCTAGAATAAATTATGTGGGCTTAACATATTAACAGGGAATCGACAATTCCTTCAGGTAAAGGTTTAGTCAAACACGAACATACAGAGAAAGAAGTTTTAGTAATAAATATGATGCGTTATGTTGATCTGAGAAAATTTCACGCTTCTATTCAAAGTAATGTCAAAAGAATGTATAGAATGCCCTAGAGGTTGGCGGACTTTCAGAATCGACTACTCGTAATAATTAGAAGGTATGTCTACAATGCGATCCGGTTTGCTTACTTACTTACTTACTTACGCCTGTTACTCCTCGCGAAGGAGCATAGGCCGCTCACCAGCATTCTTCATCCAACCCTGTCCTGGGCAATCCTTTCCAGTTCTTATTCATCCTTTTCATATCTGCTTCTATTTCCCGACGTAATGTGTTCTTTGGCCTTCCTCTTTTCCGCTTACCTTCAAGATTCCAAGTTAAGGCTTGCCTCATGATGCAGTTTGATGATTTACGTAAAGTATGTTCTATCCATTTCCACCGTCTTTTCCTAATTTCCTCTTCAGCTGGAAGTTGATTTGTTCTTTCCCACAAAAGGCTGTTGCTGATGGTATCCGACCAATGAATGTTGAGTATCTTGCGCAGACAGCTATTGATAAATACTTGTACCTTCTTGATGGTGGTTGTTGTAGTTCTCTAAGTTTCAGCTCCGTAGAACTGCCTTGACGTTCGTATTGAAGATCTTGACTTTGATATTGGTTGAAAGTTGTTTTGAGTTCCATATGTTCTTTAATTGAAGGAGTGCGGCCCTTGCTTTGCCAATCCTCGCCTTTACGTCTGCATCTGAACCTCCTTGTTTATCAACGACGCTTCCCAGGTATGTGGAGGATTCCACATCTTCCAGAGTTTCGCTATCAAGAGTGACTGGATTGCTGTTCTCCGTGTTGTGTTTGAGGACCTTGGTTTTCCCTTTGTGTATGTTGAGGCCTACTGATGCAGAGACTGCTGCTATGCTGGCTGTCTTTATCTGCATTTGTTCGTGTGTATGCGATAGGAGGGCCAGGTCATCTGCGAAGTCCAAATCGTCTACTTGGTTCTGAGCTGTCCATCGTATGCCATGGTTTCCCTCAGATGTCGAGGTCTTCATAATCCAGTCGACCACCAGGAGAAACAGGAAGGGAGAGAGTAGACAGCCTTGTCTGACTCCGGTCCTTACTTGGAATGCCTCAGTCAGCTGTCCTCCATGCACTACTTTGCACTGTAATCCATCGTATGAGTTCCGGATAATGTTGACAATCTTCTCAGGAACTCCGCAGTGTCGAAGAAGTTTCCATAACGTCCTCCTATCTACACTGTCAAATGCCTTCTCATAATCAATGAAGTTGATATAGAGTGACGAGTTCCACTCAATTGATTGTGCGACGATGATCCGTAGTGTCGCAATCTGGTCTGTGCACGACCGGTCCTTACGGAATCCAGCTTGTTGATCTCGAAGTTGAGCGTCTACTGCTTCTTTCATCCTGTTCAGTAACACTCTGTTGAAGACTTTACCTGGTATTGACAGCAGTGTGATGCCTCTGTAGTTTTCACACTTGCTCAGATCTCCTTTCTTTGGAATCTTGATGAGGTGTCCTTCCTTCCAGTCCATCGGCACTTGTTCGTCCTGCCAAATCTTCTTGAATAGAAGATGAAGCATGTTCGTAGTTACTTTGATGTCTGACTTCAGTGCTTCAGCTGGTATATTGTCGGGTCCTGCTGCTTTCTCGCTCTTGATTTGTCTGATTTCTTCCGTCGTTGGTGGATTGACATCTATAGGAAGATCTGTGTGTGCTGCCTCGATGTCCGGTGGATTCAT